TAGAATCAGGAGCTGCAGTTCAGCTCTCATAGTAGGTGTCAGAAAAGTTTATTTAGTTTGTCATCACTGGCTGAAAGTGCTTCACATGCCAACATGTAGACTCACCAGCTGTCCCACACTCGCTTTGATCTCAGGATTATCACATTGTCCTTGGATTGAATTCAGGCAGTGACTGAATCTTCAGTCTGCTAAACACGGCGCTATCCATTCTCGAGTCTCTGCAATCGTCATCCAAATCTGCCTCGACTGTGAAGGAGGAAAGGATTAGAGACCAACATGAAGAGTTTTAACACAACAGGCTGGAACTTCTTTTAAAACTAACCCAGTGAGCACCAAGATTTTAATGCTGATTTCTAATTGAAAAGTGGACGATATTCAATCTGACCTTAGACCTTTCGCCATTCTCCACAAGTTTAACTGTGGTTCCAACAACATGTAATAAAACTAATTTCTGACAAAATGTTGATGACTCGTTTAGTTATCGGCCGAAAGAGAAGCCACTGATCAATGAGAAGGTGAAATGTGGTCCACACAAAGACAAGTTCAGTGAATCACATATAAAATGTTCTACTTATAGATGTCTGAAGATTCATCAGGGGTCACAGTTATTCTCGTAGTTTAGTCGTAGCAACTGGACAAACAGTTCTGAACTCTTGGATAAGAGGTGAAACGTCTTCAAGGAACTCAAGTGAGTCCAGTTGCTACGACTAAACTACGAGAATAACCTACTTATAGATGGCTTTGTGTTGCCAACAGTGTCCAGGACATTGTTTAGGTCTGTGAAATTGTGATAGGCCTATTTTCTTATAGACTAGAATGATTAAAATAGATGACAGATCAGTTGCAACCTCAACAAACAGCTAACTGGCTTCATATTATCAGTCATTTAGTTCCATGGTTAACTTTAGTCCAAAGTGAGGCCTGTGACCTCTGCTCCCTCTCCATTACTGACAGTAAGTTAAGAAAGGCTCTTTCAATGGCCACAACTGGAACAAGAGCAATTATTTTAAAAAAGCAATCAGGGGGTTTGACAAATTGAGAACCTATAATTACAAAGAATCTCACACAAAGGATTTCAAGGGAACACAATCTGGGAGAGAATGGATGAACTGAAGTTTCTGTGGTTATCCAGCTACACATTTAGTTGTAACAGGTAATTTTTTTCAGAACTACTCTTATGAATCAGATGCTGTATTAAATGGCAGCCATCAGCGCTACTGTATGAGCACATGTTCGCTCTGTGGAGTCTCTGCACCACGTCCACGTGTCTCAGCAGCGCGCTAACTTAGCATCACATGTTCACATTATACTCACTTGTTCCACTGCTCAGCGGTTGGGCTTCTTGGAAACACTCGGCGTCAGAAAACTGCTAAACTTCGGCCTTTTTCTTGCAGCCATTTTGTAATATTTGAAGAGCAAACTGCTGAACGCTACAGAGGTCTGCTTCTGTCCACAGGCTGCGTGTAAAGGACTTGAGGCTCCAGCAGAAACGATCATAAACTGCTCCGGCTGACGGTCCCTCCCCTTCCGGGTTTAGCAAGTTAGCCACAGAGCTAACTCTGTGTGTCAGACTTTGTGTGTCATTTTCTGGTCAGTATGTTTGTTAAATGGGTCTCCAATACTTAATTTGGCGATAATAACCAGTAATTTTAATAAAGATAAAGCAGCGGCAAGTTTGTTTGCAATGAACAACTACATCCCCCATGAGTCTTAGAGGCACAGGCGCTGCCAAAGCATCATGGGACGTGTAGTTTCTGGACGTTAACAAACTATTTGTTGTGTTAAACTAGTTTATCTGCCACTACAGCGACACTAGTTACCAGTATGACTTTGCAACACATTTGGGAAAAATGTTATCAAGATAAATCTGGGGGAAAACAACACTGCTCATAAACACCTATTTCACAAACTCCAAAAGTAAATATTTTGTTCAAAACAGTACTATTAGTTTACATCTCCAGGTAAAGAAAATATGGTTGGTGATGTGATCTTGGCTAAAACAATACTGGCCTGTTGTCTGATTTGTCATTGAACATGTCATGAAGAATCTTTGGCCGAGTACTTTACCAGGGATTCGTAATGTTCACTATATGTTTGCAGGGGTTAACTCTAATTAATATGTGTGATATTGTGATCACAGTTTCTAAAATGTCTTTATTTCTGCATCACAGACTTGTAACTGAGACAAAGGTGAGCAGGGCTGAAGGATTTTCTAAAGTCAAAATTTACTCATCCACAGTGGTGGAATGTAACTTCTCAGACGCTCAGTTGTACTTGAGTTTTTCCCATTTTGTGTGACTTTACACTGCTATTCCAGTACATCGCAAAGGTAGCTATGGCACTTTATACTCGGCTACATTTGTCTAACAGCTTTAATTACTTTTCTGATTTTTCATACCTTTCCAGACCATATGAAACCATCTATCATTAATTTTTCTGTGTTCATGAATTGCTGCCTTTTTACAGATTTGTGGTCTTTACAGGACAACAACACTACTGACATGGTAATCTTGTAGAATACGATGAATTGCTGTAGATTTAAAACCCAGCTGTATTTAAAGTAGTTCAAATTAGCTCAAACTTAAGTATCTTCAGCAGTACAATGTAACATACAGATTAATACAGCAGTGATATTAGTCCAACAACATCATGTATGATGGTACATTTTGCAGATAATAATACTTTCACTTAAATAAAGTTTTGAATGCAGGACCTTACTTGCAGTGGAGTGATGTCATAGTAAGATGTTGCTGGTTTTACCCTGATAAAAGGTCTGATTACCTTTTTTAACCACTGCTCATTTAATTGCTCAGTTCTAATTTATCTCTTTATATTAGTCTAAATGTTGATTTAATGCCTTTTGCACGCTGTCAGGTTCTTGATTCTGGTAACAATAAATCCCTTTTATTTAAATTTAGTTACATTTTTTTTTGCCTGAAACTGTCAGAATTCTCAATATTAAGTCTAAAGATTAAATCATTTAAGCTTTAGTGGCTGAATGGGAGCATTCTTGTGGAAAGACCTCCTCGAAGAAGATTACCACCAGAGAATATGAAACAAGATGCTTTGTATGCAACAGGTGAAATGACGTAGATGTAATCAAAGTTGTATAGTCATTTTGTTTTGTTTCTAATAACGTTACTATTGTTTTTGACAGTTCCCTTGCAGATGAGATGTGAAAGACGAGGAACGTGAGGTTTAATTTATACATTTATTCTGATCACAGCTGTACAGGAATGCATCGTCACAGCAGAAACACAACCTAAACCCAACCATGGCACAACAGCCGTCACAACACATCCAGAACTCAACCATAAATGCACAGGCTCAACCAGCTCACCTCAATTCAATGTCTATAATTATCATCATCATCATTATTATCATTATTATTATTATTATTATTATTCACATAGAACCATCTGTCTCTCAAATATATCTTTGTTTTCAAAGAGCATAAAAATACAAGTGGACTCTTTTCATTGGGATGAACACTGGTGGCTGATCCACTGTCTGGCTTACATGGGAGACCACTGGAAACTGGGGGACCCGAGGATGAGCGGAGCCAACTTATTACAGCTTACGGGGGAGGGAGGAAGAGGGGTTGTTTATGGGCTCGTACGAGGCTTCTCAATGGTTACAGGAGGTTGCAGACAGGGTGACTGAATTTAGGGACTCACAACTCAACCTATAAGCTACTTTTGACGTCACAGACACACGGAGGGGATTTGTAAGGAACCAGAAAAACCATTAAACATCATGGAGTAGGTGACAAGAGAAGGAAAAAAAAAAAAAGAATATATGAATAACACTACGAAGGCACAGAGAGATGCAGAGTCAACGAGACACGGAGGGGGATTAAAATGGGGGAGACGAGATGGAAGGAGGGCAGATTAGAGGCAGTTTCACTAACCAACACTAGAGGGAGCTCTAACAGCTCAAATACCCAGGTATATTAGAAACTCTATGTATGTATGTATACTGGATGTACTATATAAAGCATTGAAATATAGGAGTATCTTTTAAAAACACTGTTCACTGCAGCAGGACAAAGGGATATACCGCATGAATGTGCTTGTGCATGTGTGTGTTTGCGTGTGAATGTGTGCAGTCAGTCTTTGTCGTGTACGTGTTGTCAGTTAATTTCCAAGCAAACCTCCATACGTGGAGCTAAACACCAACGAAGCAGAACACCAGCAAGATTAAAACCAAATGTAATGTGCATTTGTGTGTGCGTGTTTGTGTGTGTGTTTGTGTCTCAAAATTCATGGACACACATCTATATCATCTTTCTGATCATTAGAATAAATACTGTACGAGTGGGAGGACATTGACATGAGCATCAGCAGGGACTAAACACACTCGTAACGACAACAACGGCAACGATAACAGCAACGGCAACAACAACAACGTGAACAGAGACAACACACAGGTCAGGAAGTCCGGCTAACCACAATCCTCCACTCATACAGAAGAGAAATAGAGGCTACGATTCGACTGGAAAAATGCATCCTTTTGACATTGCAGGAGAGAGAGACAGACTCAGAAAGGGGCCTGTCTTTCCGTGAGCTTTTAAAAATTCTCTCCGGTATCTCATCAGTATGTATCTTGTTTATCTATCTAGCTATCTATCTGCCTGTCAGACAGTTAATGTGCTTATTTTTTTTTGCAAGCAATATGCTTATCTGTTTGTCTCCCTGTCTGACTGAGTTAGCATGTCTGTCATAGCCAGAGTCTGTAGAGATAAAAGGATGAGGAAAATGATTGTGCTTCTCGGTCCACACAGCCGTCTGAGGCTGCAAGAGGTCAGAGGTTGTGTGGGAGCGGCCTCCTCGCATCAGGAGGTGGACTAGAGCTACTGCACCAGACAGAGAGGACCCCCTCCTCAGTACTGTACAAGGCTACATGAGAAGCGCTCGCGCAGGAGGGAAGCGCGCTCGAACACACCATCTCCGAGCGCCGGCATCCAGCCTTGGGAGAGTTTTCTTGATACACCTACACATGATGGGGGAAGAGAGGGAAAGGGCTTGTTGGAAATGAGATGTGGGCGGGAGATCAGTCAAGCATTGCGTCCAGTTGGTCTGCCAAGTCGTCAAACATGCTGCCGATGTCGTCCAAGATGGAGACTGTTGCCTTTTTGCTGGAAACGGAGCTGGAAGTTGGATAGTAAAAAAAAAAAAAAGAGAAGAGTTTAGCTGATAATGAGGCAGGCACAGCAGTAGAATGGAGATGTGGAGTGATGGGTGTTTTTCTATCTGTCTGATAGTGTTTAAAATTATTTTTACAATGATAACTCCAATATTCCTCAACAAATATCTTCTTGGTACTTCAAAACTACATGATAGATTTTATTGTCCACTTAGGGGCAGCAGAGACTAGTTTTAAAGCTTCGGTTCTAATCCTGGGTGCCCTGGTGTTTCTGTGTTGCTCTGCAATGACATCCCCAAAATGCTAGTTGTGAGGTTTCTTCTATGTGTACGTTACACAGTGGCGGTTGAAACATAAGGGATGGTCATGATGGAGTTGAAGCTTGTAAATGCTGAACAACAGTTGCTTTGCCCAAAATGATTGCAACACTAAAAAAAAGAGAGATGTTGGATCAGAAGAAATCCACACACGGATTGGTAGAACTATGAAAGATAATAAAGGGCATATGGCTACACAAAGGGGAACACATGCGTACATATACTGCTACCTCAACACGCAACCTGACCACTGACTGTTTCTAAAGAGTTTAAAACACACCTGACATGCCCACTTGTTTAGCCGTGACTTCTTGCTCTTTTAATACCGATGCAAGCAGCGAGGAGTGGATCTAACTGAGCACTGCAGACGCCTATATTACCACGACTCATCAGTCACAAAGTAGCCTCAAACATACCCTGGTTCATCCTCTATTTTACTCTAAATGGGATCATCCAGGAACTAAATGAACATCATACTGTATTATAGAGAACTTGAAACTAGTGACTGAGGCCATAAGCTCATAAGAAAAAGGTACCTGAGGTGAGAACTCATATGAGAAGTAGAGTCAGTAAGTTTTCAGATCACTATGTGACTCCTTTCACAATGTTGTCATGTTGTCATTTGACACATTATTATTTATGACGGGCCTTTTTCCTGCAAAAGAGCCGTTAAATGTATTTTCATTCAGTAATTATCTGTGTTGACAGTCATTTTTATTGGTACTGATGCAGTCTGCTAATCTTGGATTCAGATTGCCTCCCTAAGTAGCAACATTCACAGCATGTAATCAAGCAGAAATTAATTATTAATTATTTGAACGTCTTCGCCGCTTACTGCTCGCTCTTCTCACACTGTGTCACGGAGCTGTGTCAGGTCACTGTAAACTAACGGCTCACAGGAAAAACATTACAGTGACACCTCTATTGAGAGCCAGCTGTGGAACATGAAGCATATTTGTTTATGTGTGGTAAAAACGGAAACACCTGTTGCCCTTCTGTCATATTTCTGATAAGTAGCTGCTCAGCCTGTGGCCTTAAAACACACTGGCTGTTACCTTGGTAACCGAGGGTTTTTCCTAAATCAAACAGAACTGAAACTTTACGGATTACAGCTTTAAGTTCATGCCACGTAAGAAGTTATAAATACACCAACCGTGCTTCTGTCTGTTTGTTATGACGTAAAGGCTCTAAATACTACAGTACACATCAGCCTTAGCAACCGTCGCTATGGCAGAGATGCGAGCCAGAGGCACAAATCAGAGCTGCGGTGAATTTAGAACCATTTATCGTTGCAAATGGGGACAAAACACCGCATTTGACCCAGAATTCAAAAGTGAATCGAAGTCATTTAAAATGCAGAATATTTTAACAGGTTTCTATGAAGTTTAAACTTCGTCTTCAGTTCGCTTTAAACTCAGAGATTTAATGTTTCATGGGCGTTGGAACTGACTTCTCTCTTTGAGGGAATAGTTGGGGAAACTGTTTATTTTCTTTGATTTACATCTGAGTTTTCTGATGATGTGTTTGGTAGCGCTCGCTGGAACCGACTGTAGTTCCCTGATGAATAGTTCAAACCACAAATTCTTGTTTTCACTCATTCAAATTCAGCTTTGAATGATTAAAGGTTTTATTTGTCACACGGACAAACGAATGCAAGAAACTGCAATGTGCAATACACTGTAGTGTTGCATTAAGACCCTGCCAGCAGTGTGCAGAGTAATCAGTAGGTCTGTAAAAATGTCAGGTGTACAAATAAAACTAGAAGACAAGCTACAGCAACATTTTACGCGTGCTTGAGTGCAGTTTTTCAGGACAACACGATAACACAGATTATAGTCACTGAGTGAGCATCGCAGGTGTATTTTTTTTAGACTCTGGAAACAGCTGGCTGGATGTTTACCTTCATTTTCAGTCATTAAAGTGACTGACTCTGTGCTCAGAACTGAAGGCAGGGATGTGAAAGAGTTAGTGATCTTCTCATCGCCCTCTTGAACAGAAATAACCAGGCTTCCCACGATGTTGAACTATTTCAACAGTGTCCATCCAAGCTGTTCCATCCGCCAGTCACCTAAACCGCCTCTGTACAGGACTCCTACACCTCCATAACAGCAAAAGACAAATCTAATTTCTAGCTCTGTACTGCCTAAAGAAAAATTAATATATGCTTTAATCCCCTGATCATTAACTGTGATGCTGTCATGTAGCACCATGAAGGATATAAATGTGTATTCTGCGGTAAACCAGATGTACTCCATGAACACTCACTCATTTTGCGTGTCCTCCTCCTTGATTGTGTGCTCTACAGCCTGCAGAGCTGCAGCCAGAGAGGCACTGGTCTCCTCCAGACGATGCTGAGCTTCTCCCTCCTGCTCTGCCTCCTCCACTCGACTCTCCCCCTCTTCTCTCGATCCTTCCCTCCTGGAGGGTTTCTTCTCCGGCTCCTTCACGCTCCCGTCCTCTGCTCTCTTCCTCTCTTCCTCCTCTTCCTCCTGTTTGTGCCTCTTGTGCTCCCTCTCTTTCCTCCTCTCCTCTTCCTCTCTCCTCTTCTCCTCTTCCTCCTCCGCCTCCCGTCCACCCAGCAGGTCAATGGAGAGGCCGGCGATGGAGGAGCGTGGAGGTTTGACGGGGTGCGGTGAGGGGGTGGAGGGACTCTGGGCCGGGGAAGGGGAAGCAAGAGGGAGTCCCGGGGAGAGAGAGGGACCAGAGGGGGTGTCAGGGGCTGGAAGAGGAGCAGCAGAGGGCGGGGAGGAGGGTTTGGGGGCCGGGGTGGGGCTGGCAGCAGCTGGACTGGTAGCAGCAGGAGTCGGGCTCATGGTAGCTGAAGCTACTATTGCTTTGCCTGGTTTAGGGGCCGTTGGAGGCCCGCGGGGCTTCGGGGATACAGGAGGAGGGACCCTCTTCGGCTCTGGTCAGAGAGAATCACAGAAAGCTGTCAGTCTTCTTATGTATAATTAATGATTAAATCAAATCACAGACAGCGATGATTATGATTCATTATTCCTTTTCTCTTGACCACTCAGTGTTTGCTTAAGTGATGCTAGTACAGTACAAAACCGTCAACTTTTCTATTTCTTTTAATCACAACTCTCTCAGATTTATTCATTTTGGCAACAATAATCATTATACAATTTCACAGAAAGTCTGTAAATTATAATATCGAACTATCACACATTTCTTTTAATGATATACTTGATCCTCCTCGCTGGAGTCTCCTGAACGCCGACACCATCGGTTTATGTAATGGCCATCTGTAATCAACGGTCTGACTTTGTTTTCTTAATCTTTTACCACCCACTGTTTTCCCACACATAAGAAGGAAGAGGAGGTATGATCTATACGATGTGAGGCATCATAAAGTCTCTGTGTTTTATTTAGTTGGTCATGGGGATGCTCAGTATATTCATCATCCATTAATCTGCCTGACTTTTTTAGTTTTTAATTAATCATTTGTACTTTAGAATATCATTACATCGTAATAACATTTTAGGCTGTTAATTTAAATAAAAATCAAGAAGATTTAGTGCAAGTTATTGATTTAAAGCCCTGATATGACCACAATGTCCAGTTGCAACTCCAGCTTTGTCTTTCCTCGTCTATATTTCTACTATTTCTATGATAAACTACAAATTTTAACCCCCTATGTAATGACATTTTCAGTCCAATACTTTGGCTGGTACAATAAAAACAACACTGTGGCAGACAGATTCATGCTGTCATACAATATTATCTCATTGATAAGCCAGTTGTTGTCTGAGCAAAAGCATGTTGGGCATCAGGTGACTTTTGCTTTGGGGAGGGTTCAGCAGATTGTTTTTCGTTTGTGCTGTTCTCCATCATTTATTATTTTGGCAATATACTAAGATCCCCACCGGGAAATCGCGGTGCGTCATTGCTCTTTCAAACGGCACAGCCTAGAAGCTCACCTGTTGCGGTTATTATGACAGCACCAAAAGGCCTAAATGAAAATTGGAGACACCCCAGTAGAACCAGTGCCAAAAGTGAGCCTGGAGCCCTGCTGATGTCAGTGCTGAAAGGCGTGCTGTGTAGTGACTTTTAAGTGAAGCTGACTACTGCAGGGCGACATAGACGTTAATACAGACCAGCTATTCTGAGTCTGACGGCTAAAGTTTCTGTTTTGTGTGTGTGAATCTCACCGGGGCTCTGTGCCGTCTCAGCATCGTCAGGTCCAGGTATGGGGACCCTGCGAGTCGGGGTCGGGGGGTCAGCTTGAGTCTTCCTCAGGGTGACGGTGGATGGTTTGGGTGAGACTGGTGGCTTCAGAGACTTCCTGGCCTCCATCCACTCGCAGCTCTCTCTGGTCTCGGTCCTCTCAGAGACCTCAGACACCGGCCGCCGCCTCAGGACCACGCCGCCGTTCTGCTGCGGCTCGCCTTCAGTTTTCCGGCTTCCATCTGCTGGACTGCTGGGAGAATCTGGTTGGTTTTTGCTCTGAATGAGATGGTCTGGATGCTCGGATGTGCGAGGCCTCCTGCGTATGGTGTCGGTGCCAGTTGTCATGGTGATGACAGTGGTGGACACAGATGCAGGTGCTTCAGATTCCGCTGCAGGAGGACGCGGCTTCCTTCGGAGCGTCGCCGTGCCGTCGGTGATCTCTGATGCTGAGGTGACCACGGTGGAGCGAGGCCGGGGCTCTGGGCGCTGCTGGACTGGTTGCCGAGGCAACTGGTCAGCTTGATCACCGGGGAGGGCTTCAATTCCACTGATGGTCCTGCGCCGATTTAAGACATCATCCTCCTCAGCTCCAAGGCCTCCTGCACCTGCCTGTCGACGAAGCAGCGGCGGACTCACCTGGAGATCACATGATTGTTACATGTACATATTGCTAAAATGTTAAACCTGCTTCTCACGGTCACACACACATACCTGTAGGTAGTTGGTGGTGCCTCCCATGTTCCTCTGCACCGGTTTGGTTCCACCCACGATGGATGTTTCCAGCATGGCCGCCAGGCTGCGAACGCTCCCAGAAGCCCCCTCTGATCTCTGCAGACCCGCTTCCTGAGCTCTTAAAGCTGCTCCCAGGCTGCCGCAGTCGCTGGCTCGCCGCTCTCGATAGGTTGGCAGCCCAAGCAAGCCCTCTACCTGTCCCTCTCCCTCCCCGTCACCCCCGGTAATGGAGGAACAGGAGCGTTTGGGCGGAGTCGGGGGCCGACCTTTCCGACGGGGGCGGAGGGTGACAGAGGACTGGCTGCGGTTAACGGTGACATCATTAGAGGAAGGATTTGCAGAGCTGCTGCGGCACACTGTGGCGTATCTAGAGTCTGATTCTGAGCCAATTAGACTGTGAGTTCTGCGTCGCTCCTCCTCCTCGCTGGGCAGCCGCAGCAGCGGTACCGACGGATCTGCTGACATCTGGGTGGAGGGACGCGGTCGAGCCCTGGGGGAGGCCTGCTGCGTCCGGCCGTGAGGCGGGGTTTGTGGTGGGGTCTGGGTCGGGGTGAGGGGAGGGGTCTGTGAATGTGCAAGCCCTGGGCGAGGTTTGGCCAGCGGGCTGGGAGCACCGTCCCTCTGCTTCCTCACCTCCCTCCGTGGCTCTGAGGCGGTGCTGCCACCTGGGCTGGATGGAGGCGTGGAGGGACTCTGAGGAGGCTCAGAGCCACTTTCTCTTCTCTGTAGCTCCTTCAGTCTCTTCACGCCCAACATGATCTTCTTCTGATGGCCTGAAGGGATGCAGGGGTGTGATGAAGACGAGCAGAGGGACAGTTATTGTGAGGCAGAAAGGGACTAAAAATACATTTAGACTTTGAAATTAGGAGACATTCCAGGGTACTGCTTTATAAAACTATCCATGAAATGCACATTTCCTGGAAAACTGTAGCTCTTAAATAATGACCCCAATTTGCACTAGTCATGCTCATTAAAACTAACCCACAGGTCTCCAGGATGCACATCGCTACAGGGGCCCGAGAACATTTGTTACCGCCAAAAAGTTAAGCAATAATTATATAACTTTATAGGCTGTTACAAGCTATTTTTGCAGTAATTATCCTGAGTTCACAGAGGGGTCTCTCTTTAATTTGGAAAGTAATCAAAATGATATATAGAGCATATTATGCATATTCTGATTTTGTTTATTTTGTAGATACATTGGATTAGGTTTTATCATTGTATTTGTCCCATTTTGTTATTGTAAAACCTTTCCCATCTTACTAATGTAGCTGCGTCTTACCGAGCTTAGTAATGCCGATCTCTTGCAGATCTTCAAGGCTGATGTCAGAGATGAAGTCAATGTTTTCGTACCCATTCTGCACAAGAACCTGGTAGTACTGACTAAGGCCCAGGTGAGACAGCCAGTCTCCCAGATTGGCCTAAAAACACACACATAGACATACAAACATGAGCACAGGCATCCTGAAAAACGAGCTTCTTAGCCAGCCAACGGAGCTGCGTGCATGTATGCTTGTGTTCACGCAGCTGCCAAAACTCTTCATCTCCACCTTTCTCTAGTTTGTACAGAACACGTGAGGGCCTTACAGGCTTGTGGTCCGGCAGCCAGTCTGTGGAGGGAAGCTTGCTGATCTCTGACGTTAACTTCTTTCGATGTCCGGGCTTCATGACCCCAATCGCCGTCAGGTCCTTCAACGCAAAGCACACTTAGTCACATCACGAATTCTCCACCGCTCCTGTGGGTGCTTCTTCATTTAATGTAAACAATTTTATGTGCACGTTTTACATTTATACATGAGCTGCGTGTGATATGCCTTCAGGAATATTTTGCGTTGGATAATCTCTGATGAGCGTCCCCTGCCCATAGGGGGGGGTTTACGTCATACCGCTGTGTCTGCTTCAGTACACAAACTCACGCACGCACTCACACACGCACACAATGGCGGTAGAACCACACTCAAGGACAAACACAGAGTAGTGTTTACAGCACAGACTGGAACACGCGGCCATGTGTGAACACAGGTATGCAAATGAAGCAGACGGAGTATGAGAAGTGACTGGTTGAGGCTCAGGACTCACACCGGGGGGTCAGGTGACAGAGACAGGAGGGTCATGATGACATCATCCAGGTCAGTGGGGAGCTGATTTGAGAGCTGTGCTGGGCGGAGCCTTGACAGACAGGGGGCGGGGCGTGAGGGGGTCAGGGGTCATGACCTTACCTCGGGGGTCATGCGGCTAATGGTGTCTAGATCATATCCCGCGGTGAGGAAGTGGGTGGTGTAGAACTGCAGCTGAAACTCACCCAGCCACGTCACTACTGCCTGCTTCTAGAACACAGAACACAGAACACTACTGCCCGCTTCTAGAACACAGAACGCCACCGCCTGCTTCTAGAAGGGTCCGCAGGCTTCTTCTAGAGCACAGAACGCAGGCCTGTTCTAGAGCACAGCAGAGAACGCTGTTCTGGAGAACAGCGCAGGGTCATCCCACCTCAAATCATCACATGTTTAGAACAACTTCTGCTCGATAGTCTCACACCTGAAATTTTTACAGAATGAAATATTAATGTTTTCTGAAGATATTTGTGACATTTCAGCTTCATGTAGCAAATACTTTCCAAGACATATTTTTTTTTTAATTGCCCATTGACTCATTTTTAGCAAGTTTTTTTTTTGTACATTGAAATTTGAGGCTATGTTTGAACAACAACATCTCAGGAACTTTTAAAGATAAAAGCCTAATATATTTACTGGTATTTCTGATCATGCTGTTCAGTCAGAATTTACATGATTGGACAAGTAGATTAAATAGTCTGGTTATGGGTGAGTTGAAACTAAATGGAATCTGTCATGAAAATACCCATCTTTAGGCCGACATGATACGATAAATTGTACCAAAAAAACTGAAATATTGCTGGATAGCCCACTCAAGTACACCAGAGTCTTGGAGATTTCGAAATGATTCAGTCTTTTATCTTGATTATTTCCTGGGATATTGTCATTCAGACATAGCCTCAAATATCAATGTGTAAGAAACATACGGAAAGTCAGTCAACAGGTAATTTCATTTTTAAAAGATTATCTCATAAAATATTTGATACATCAATCTCAAATTTCACAGATACCATTTGTACCTGGTCCCTGATGATTTGACATGAAATAACCCCATAGGAACTTCCAATGTTTTCCCAAAATTGAACCCTCTTCTACATCGAAATCTACAAAGCGCTTACCGACAAAGAGTAGGAATCTGCTCTGGAACACGTGATAAAGAGCTTCTCTAGCAAAACAGAATGGAAACCCTCCGATACCTTCTGCATTTGAAGAACTGCACTGCCATAAACTCAATAATATAATAAACTTAGTTTACGGTTGTCAGGTATAACACCATCAATGGATTTTCTTAGAATAAATATTACTCCCAAATAATACTTCTTATAATTCACAAAGGTTTGTAGAAATAACAAGACATATCACATAACTAGATGATAATGAATCATGCCATCTTACCCCTAGTGGTAGTTAGTTAATTTAGAGCTCTCCACCAGGATTTATGCTACCATCCCAATACAAAACAGGTAAACGGAAGTGAACATTATGTTACGTCTTAACATCAATGTGTTTTTCCAGAAAACACAAAAAAGGACCGTGCATTAATTTCCATTCATCTGTATTGTACATGGTGGCAGCGGTGGTCTCCATAGTAGACACCTCAAAACTAGATCTACCACTATGGCAGATACATACCACTAACTGGAAGTAGGCGGGTTTGCAATTTGAGTTAACTGAACTCGTACAGCTAAACTTAAATTAATTTATTCAAACCATTTGCATACACCAGGGCTGTAGTGTCCAGGTCGACTGGTTGGTTGACATGCTCGCATCTGACCAAACTGCCACTGGTCTGACAATCACTGGTTTTATTTCTAATGAGAAATGCTCTACATCAGCAGCCTTACAGAGTTAATCATCCTGATCAGATACCGAAACCACCTTAGCTCGCTTTTTTCAACGCAAAGTAGCATCAACCTCAAGCTCCCTCCGGATGTCTGAGTTCCTCACCTTACTTTTAACACAGAGGAAACTCATTTCACCTGTTTGTATCTGCCACCTTGTTCTTTTGGTCACGTTCTTTTTGGTTCTTTTGAGCTCATAGGTAAGAGCTGGAATGTAGATCAACAGGTAAATCGAGAGCTTCAGCTCCCTCATCACCATGATGGTTCCTCTGCACCAATCTTTCTGTCCATCTCACGCTTCATTTTCCTGGCATTCATGAACAAGAACCTGAGACACTTAAAGTCCGTCCCACCTCCAACCCAGAGGAGGCAATCCACCGGTTTCCAGCAGAAAACCAGGGCCTTGGACATAAATGTACTGACTCTCATCCTGGCTGCTTCGCTCTCAACCCCAATGTGTGCTGAAGGTTATAGCTTGATAAAGCCAACAGAACCACGTCATCCAAAAAAGATGTGACTGATGCTCTAAAACTGGACACCCTCCTCACCCTGACTGCACTGATATCCTGTCCAGAAATGTCACAAACAGGATCAGATTCTAGGCGCAAGGAATTTAATTTTTTTTTTCAGTCGACCAAGATTATCTGTGGTTGGTTACAGCCCTGGTGTATACTCATTAGTTTGTGAATGGCTTTAGTGTCAAAGAGTGTTTAATGACACCAACCAGTGACACACTACAACACTCCTGCGCTGGCTCCTCTGATGGCACACCACTGTCGCCTGGCAACCAGTAAATGTTTGATCCTAGAATCTGGCGTGTGCTCGGCTCTAGAGCGCACAGAGGGAGTTTAACCCTGAGCTTCACAGAACACACAGCACTGCTGGCAGAGCGGCAGCATGTGGGTGTCTCAGTGTGGGGTGAGGGCAGGGGGAGGGTGGAGGGACAGAAGGCAAGACAGCAACTGACTCCTCAATGTGTCTGTCACTCTGCCTGTCTCCATGGTGACACACTCGCATGCCCATCCTCAGGGTGTCGTCTGTTCAGGTGCAACAAAAAAAAAAACAAAAAAAACACCCCGGCAGATACCTCCCTGTGCCCACTGAACTCCACCCTTGTAGATGCCTCTTTCCCAAACCAGAGATTTGAGAAGCAAAAAAGGAAAAAAAAAAGGAGGCCCCAGAGTGAAGCGGTCTGCCATCCAAAAACTCACTTTCCCATCATCCTCTTCTGCCTTTCGTTCAAACGACCGCTGTTCGTGAACTGTGCAACTAGAAGAGCCTTGAGGTTAAGATGAAAAAAAGCAAGACAAGGGAAAGGAAGGAGAGGGAGACAGAACAGAATATGTTACTTTCAGCAGTTTTCTTATTTCACTCTTCTTTGTTGTTAATCCCACCTACAAGCTGGTTATTTATAAAATCTTGGCAGCGCTTTAATTCCTGGCTCTTGTCGTTTCTTAATATTTTCTTAACAGCGTTTATTTGAAGTTTATTTCTCATCAATTATTTAAGAAATGAGCAGCTTCCCATAAACTTGTCTTCCTTTTAAATCAATCCTCATTAAATCTCTGTTCTGGTAAATTATTTAGAAGCTAGAGACCCTGAAATTAAAATGTTACCTTGTCCCCTAATTGTTTGTTTCCTAAAACGCCGCAAAGAACTGGTGTTATCTGCAGATTAAAGGCATTCTTTGAGGGAGAGAAGCAGTGGAGATATCAAATCAAGTCAGGCTTAAATTGCCCACGTAGTCCTCCATAATAATTCTGGTAACAGCTTTCATGCTTGGCTGGCTTTGAGGTGCTGTTTTAGCACTGCACTTCCCACATATCACTTAAACCAGTTGACTGACGGCTGATTAAATATGCTAATATACTATGTGATTCTTTTAAAGTGAGATTAGTCAATCAACTACGAGCATAGTGCCTAAATTTAAGCGACACTATAAAAAAAATGCCTTTAGAGCATACTGTATGTGCATATAAATATATCAAACATGCTTTATGGACACAGTTTTACTGTATTTGTCTTTGCAGCCACGAGTGAACAATAACACGAGTGCAGCTACAGCAATGCAGCGTTAAACCTGTAGAAACGTTGTCATGAATAAAGGTACAAGTTGACCCTGATTCAGTCAAATCGTTTTTCAATACAGGCCGTTGTTAGGAAGTGACAGCAAAACTTAGCTGTTCAGGGTTAAAGAATGTGCATTTTCAACATCAAATGGAAAGCTTTAGACTCTGTTGACCTGATGTTCACCTCACTTATCCTCCTGTGCTTTTCATTTCTTTTTCTGGATGTTGCATTGAAGTATTTGGACTTGTGGTGGCTATAGCTGCTCAGATTAACACAGTTTACTACTATCAGTTTAATAGCAGTTTTGAACTTTTCTTTCTGCGGCTAAAGCATGAAACACACAGATTCCTGAGAAGCAAAAAGGATTTTTTTTAAAAAAAGAAGACCCGTCCCCGGTTGCTTAATGCAGCATTTTAGAGCAGCTTTTATAAATAAAGCATAACTTAAAATGCTATTATACAAGAAGCGGCACAGGAAGTGCTGCTTGTGTCTGATATGAGCAGACAGGTGGTCTTTAGAAGGCCAGGTTGACTAAAAGTGAAATGATTCATAAAAGCGACCCAAACAGGCCTGCAGGCAGTTGTTGTACTGAACACCGCCTTGATCATTTCTAATTGTCATCACTTTAGAAAAGGCAAAGTGCTTTTTTTCTTCTCGAATCAACAGATCGCACACATTTTCTCACGAGCAAGAGCAGACACACTTTGTAGTATCCGTTTAAACCGCTGCAGCAGCAAAAACAAACTTTGAACCTAAATTGAAACTGACACAAATGATCACTTCAAGTAAAGACAAAGATATTGTTTCATGCTGTCTTTGGGTGAGTTTGTGTGCTTACTTGCTGACTGCTCAACAGACTGCGACTGCTCCAATAGATGCTCCTTGGCTTTTACCGACTGAGACAGCACGGTGGCCAGGAGCTAAAACACAAAAACACACACAAATACGCTCACATATATATATACACACACACACACACACACCCGCACAGGCAGACACACTCACATGAAGAAACATTTACTCAAGCATAATCATTCAAATCCCAGAGGTGCCTCGTGACTCAGCTCAGCACACATATAACACACACACCCTGGCTTGCAACCCTCTTCCTTCTGTATTTCATGCAATTTTCCGGTGCAGCAGAGACACTAGAGTAAATATTTCTTAAATGCCTTGCGTGGGAACACCATCCAATTTGGCAATTTGCTGAATATTTTTAAGGTACAACCTAAAAATACCCTTATTATATCCACAGATAGAATTAATTTTAGAATAAGCTGACGTGTTAGGGAGTAGACCTGCAGGGTGCATGATATCACCAATTATAAATGAAAGCACACTAGGCAGCGGAGGACAAAAACAGCATTACCCAGGCAACAAAATGCACCATGGACAAAATGTTTATCTCTCACTTAACTGTCCTGACTTGCAAACGAGTTGTGTGGAGGCAAAGGCGAACTGCATGTGATATTGTGTTTCTCTTATTTCTAGTGTGTAGACTTACACTGTACCATGCATGACATGTAAACATATGACTTTTCCAGGGTTATCATCAGACTCAAGTCCGATATCACTTAAATCTACTCTTTACTGGTGTGGTTGTGTTGCTCTTCTTTTTCTTTAAAATACCCCAAAGATGTTTTATTAGATTAAAGATAAGCAACATACTCGTCCAGGTAATAGCTTTCACTTTTTTCTTCCTCGCCTGTGATTTTGGCACTGGGCTTTGGACTATTTTCATGCCGAAACATGTTTCTTCTGCCAAGCTTCTGCAGACTGGTAGTCATCTTGTCAGCCAATATTTTGGTAAATCCACAGACATTCATGATGCTGTCTATAAATATCGTCCCCCCCAACATCTTTTACACTCACGCAGCCCCTTATCATCACACGCCCACCTCTGTGCTTCACTGTCAGGACTATGCATTCACTGCAGCAGTCCTGATCTGGTTCACACCAAACATGTTGAACTCCACCTGAGCTGAACAAATTTACCCACCAAAGGATCCATCCATCCATCATCTATACACCGCTTAATCCTCATTAGTGTCGCGGGGGGGCTGGAGCCTATCCCAGTCGACTTAAGGCGAAGGCAGGGGACACCCTGGACAGGTCACCAGTCTATCACAGGGCTACACTTAGAGACAGACAACCAAGCACACTCACATTCACACCTACGGACAATTTAGAATCACCAATTAACCTCAACATGTTTTTGGACTGTGTGGGAGGAAGCCGGAGAACCCGGAGAGAACCCACGCTGCACGGGGAGAACATGCGAACTCCACGCAGAAAGAGAAAGATTCCGGTGCCCCCCACCGGGACGCGAACCAACAGTGCTACCAACTGCGCCACCTTGCAGCCCCCACCAAAGGATGTGCTCCCAGTATTCATCAGGCTTATTTTCAAGTTCTTTAGCAAAGTTTCATCTTGCAGTTTTGTCCTGAACAGCAAGAAAGGTTCTTTTTCCTGGCAGCTGCCCAGAGAAGATGACATTATGCAGTGTCCTTCACACTGTCTGAGCTGTCACAGAAACTCTGATTTCAATCGATTACTCCTGTGCCAAGTCCGAAGCGCTTGACTGTCCGTTTTTCAGAGTAGATTGTGCAAGCAGTGCAATGTCCATGGTGATGCAGATTTGAATGATTTGACATTTAAGTAATAATGCACAGGGGTGTCACTTCTGTTGTATATCGTAAATACAACAATGCAAACTTACAAAGTTACAATTTAAATGAACTGAAGCTGACTCCAGCTCAATCAAGCAATGTCCTTAACTATAAGTTTGTAGTTCAGGAAACACACTGTTGTAATTTGTCCAAAAAGCTTTTGTTAGTAAAAATGCAGATTGGCAAATTTTCACTTGCATATTTTATGATTCTAATAAGATGACCTGTTCATACACCTGTGTTGCAACTGACATGCTGCTGTCCATGATGGAGGAACGAACTTAACTAATTAACTTAGGCAAATGAGCAAAAGTCAAAAAGATGACAGATAAAGTAGGATTTAGCAGTTTGACTCAAATTTAGCTGCTGCAGTTTGTCTAGACAATAAGTGACAATGCTGCCATTTACAAGTGTCATTTACTGTGTGACTGACAAAAAGAACAAACCAGGAAGCCACCATCTTCATGCACCTCATAAAAAAAGTAAAACTGATCTCTCCAGCAGAAAACAAAACGAAAAAAAAGTGAGCAGGAAACAGAATTGTGGTTAACTTGGTAACTACAGTCGTGTTTGTTTCCTGACAGTGTTCTTCTGTTTCCCAGAAACGATGTGTTGTTTTGCAAAGATCTAGTAGCAACATGAAGCGTGTGCACCCAGGCAGACAAATACAAGCAAACAGTCTCTTGCCTTGACCCCCTCTGCTTGTGCGTGCAGGCCTGGAGCGTTAAGGCCGTGGGTGTTGACTCCAGGTGTGGGTGCAGGGTGTGGGCTGGGTGCAGGCGTGGTCAGGACGTGTGTGTTCCCAGAGCCCTGCAGGCTGCTGGATGACCGAACGCTGCCGAGGCTGCCCACGCTGCCACTGCGATCGCCACCTCCACGCATAAACAAACACATTGAAGGATGCAGTGTTATAAAGGGCGCATTGGTCGAATGCAGAGTTTCACATCGTTGCCCAAAAAAACCACACTTTGTGTTTACCTGCCAGCGGTTTGCGAAGCACCCAGATGTCCTCACTGGTGCTGCTCTGCTGTCCCAAAGTAGGAGAGCCTTGTGGACTCAGCTCTGCAGTCCGTGAACCTGTCTCACACGCACACACGCACACACGCACACACACACGCACACACACACACACACACACACACACACACACACACACACACAGGTATGAGTGTGTGTCTGCTTGTTGAGGCTAGTTTGTTTGTTTTAGTCTAAATATATTTGAAGAAAGTTCTTACTGCCACAAATACATTAACCAACAAACAGCTACAAAAAAGATGTGCGTGATAACGTGTGGTACATAGTGTCATATATAAATGTGTTCAGATCTTAAATGAACACCGTCAAAGACGCAGACTCACACACAAAGATACACTCATTCATCTACACATGCATAAACATGTTACTCAGAGTGATCGCAGCACCTCTAAGTGCGAATAACTGTGAGACTTGTCAAACCCCACAGAACCTTTGATCGGAACAGAACAGCACAACACAACCACCAATGTGTGGTACTTCAAAAGAAATTATAGGAACAACTTCATAAAACTGTTTTAGAGTACGTACAGGAAGTTTCAAATATATTGGCTTTAATTTGAATATTACAGTTAAAGGATCAATTCACTCAAATTACAAGAACTCTACTCCAGTATGAAACAGGTGAATGGGGTTTCTTTTAAAAGTAGCATCTGCAAAGAAAAATGACATCTAAAAGCTGTAAAAACAAGAAGTCCTGGTCAGTTAGGAAAGTCCACAGATTTATCTACAGATAGTTTTCACTATTTTTCGTGTAGCTTCTGTGATCTGGGTGAATTGACCCTTTAATGAAGCACTGCAACAAGCAGATAGATGATTTGTGCCATATGTTGTCTTGTCAAAAAGCATGGAAAGGATTCTTATCTGTGATTTAGAGTGATACTACAATATGTACCTGTCTGACTTTGCGGCTCCTGAGAAGTGGAGAGAGGAGGAGGAGGAGGAGGAGGAGTGGACAGAGGAGGAGTAGACAGAGAAGGAGGAGAGATGGGAAGAGGAACGTACCCAAACGAGGAGAACCGAGGGAGGGACTGTGTGTTGGGGTGAAGGGGAGGAGGGGGAGGCAGATGCAGGGGGAGGACTTTGGAGGGAGGGTATGAGTGTCCGTTGACCGAGGCAATGGGGCAGGGGTTGGGCCTGCGGAGCAGGAGGGTGTGGCACTGCTGGGACGGGGAGTGACCTGGACACAAGCCAGGGTCGGGGAGGTGCAAAACAACAACAACAACAACACAACAACAACAACAACAACAACTGATCAGTCAACTTGAAAGAAAACAAATCTAATCAGAAAAATCTGAAAATGCATAAAATAATAACTGATTAAAATCAAAACATGAGAAAAGAATACATCCATATATCCACAGGGAATATATCTGAGTAAATTAAAATATAAGATCACTACAGCAACAAAGCAAAACAAACAATATGAACAAAAGCATCACCATCTAGCAGAGCAGGTTGGCGGGGCGGGCGCATTAATCGGGGAGAGTGACAGAAGGAGCAGAAATATCGAGGCGGGGCGGGGGGTGGACAGAAAGTAGAGGACTCTGTTTGATCAATGGAGATGATTGACAGGTTGGGGAAAACAGATGGGCTGCCCCAAGAGGCCGATGATGCTGCAGCTAGCTACGAGTAATGATCGGCTATAGCTACAGAACAGCTGCTGAAGTCACTCACGCCAAAGCTCACACACCCACCCACCCGTACACACACACACACACACACACACACACAGACGGAGCTGTGATGTGGGTGGTCACCTGCCCTCTTGATGACTTCCACCATGTTGGAGGGGAAGTAGCCCACGCGGTCGTTTCCGGTGCGGTTGTCATGAATACAGCCTTTCCATCGTCCATCGGAGTGCTGCTCTAAAACCTGCACACACATTATTATATACCCTGCTTACAGTCACCCAACAATAACCGCAGGAGCTAAACCGAGAGTTACTGCTTTTTAAAGCTCACATTGCCAGCTGATCTCAAACTAGCAATTTAGTTACGAACAAAAATCATAGTTTTAGGGAGGCTGATGATAGATCAAATGTAACAGCACACGTACAGAAATGTGTGGTTTAGAGTTAGTACTACGCTGTTAAGAGCAAAAATATCGAATGAAGCTAACCTGACAATATTTTATCTTTTAGTCTAGCTAACATTGAAATAATTTGCAATTAGAGGTATATTGTGTTGTTTGTAAGAAATGTTTCCCAGTATGCTTTTTTATTAACCCTTTGAACCTCTACACACACCGACGGGTGTGAAAGGCGTGCAGTGTTTTTGAAAACTGCCGCATGTTAAATTATTTGTTAGACCCAGAAACTGTAAAATGAGAAAGATTTAAGTAGTCAACTGTGTTCAGTCAGGAAAACTAACCACATGTACTTTATAACTGAGTCATTACTAATGTTAAACTGTACTGTTTTTGTCAATGTACATCAATGAAGACCTAATTAACAACACTGGACATTTTATTTGATGTTGTGACCGTTAGGGTTATTGTACCGTAATAATGTCTCCAGCTTTGATGTTGAGGCTGGTGAGGTCGTAGTTGTTGCAGTAATCCTTCAGCGCTCGCACCTGCATTGCAGCCGAAGCATCTACAAGACAGAAGTACAGACAAGAGAAATGGAGGGGAAGGCAGCAAGGGAGAGCAAATCAGCTCTTAAAGTCCCTCTCTGGTCATTGATCAAACCCCTAAATTCCATCTCTGTGTATCAAAGTTACATATTTCTAAGTTTTTTTCCTCTGAAAAGAATCCCTTACAACCTCAAAATGGCTTAGATGTAACTCTACACTGTAGCTTCCTTTAGATTGTGCAGATGTATGAAGTCCCTGCCTCTGGCTTTCCTCACCCCTCTTTGATCACTGCAGCTGAGCACACCAGCTCACCTACAACTCTGATCAAACACTCTAGATCTATTCCATGCAACACAACGACAACTGGTAATATTGAAGTAATTCAGCCATACATACATGTTTGAACCAGAAACTGAGTCTGAGGGAGACTGATGATATAAAAAGCTCCACCCTGAAAGTTAACAGGATTGATTCTTTAGGTTTGTTGTGTGTGAAACCCTGGACGTCTGAATTTGTGTTTTTGTTGTCAGTACACTGCAGTTTCAAAGAGATTCTCAAGAATGGAATTGACTCTTTCCTTTGCTATTGCTGTCTCTTCAGCTTAAAAAAACACACCATATGAACACACTGACATGGTAAAAAAAATCCTGATATTGTTTTTGAATACAGAGGGTGCAAATAGTAAGTCAATCAAATTCAAAAATTGGTGAGATCATATTCCAGGCACAAAAACGATATTGCTGGGCGCTCCATTGCATTCACAGTGGCAATTTGCCGTCACCTAAGTCTGAAAAAATGTACACATACTATTACTAACCACCGGGAACTGTGCATGCATGCAAAGAGAATATAGTCGGAAGAAATTCTTAACGTTTGTCAACTTAGCGCTTTAGAAGTAAGCTAATAATGATGCATTTACATCCAAAAATGAACACGTGACTCTCTCAAACATATCTACATTTATTGTGTCATACATGTGTTAGTGTATGTTTTACACTCTTGGTCTCACCTCTCAGCAGCTGTTTGATCTCCCGACTGGCCTGCGTGGTGGTGAACTGGTTAACGATGTCCAGGGCAGTTTGACTCAGAGTGTTTCTCACTCCTGCACTGATGCCACTCTGCATGGAAGCAGGGGAGAAAGAATGATGGAAGCTGCAATGTCAAACTACGTCTCACAGAGATTGTAATAAGGATGCGGCTGTGTGCACCTTCCTGCTGCTAATATCTGTTGTCTGTGCTCAGCAATAACATCAAAAGTGAAATGCAGCAGGATAAGACAGAATGCTGAGAGCAGGGTTAAGCATTAGCATCCTTATTCTTCCGAAGGTGACAAAAGGGCTTTAAAAAAAAAAAACACAGCAGTGGGGTTGAATATAGCACGACAGGCAGGAGACTAGACGGCACAGTTTTATGTAACAAGCCAACGTATCCCACAGGTTTCCTCATGCAGCTCGGTGTGAATGACAAATGCTGAGGTGTAAACTTGCTCAGCTGAGGAGAGGGAGGCTGCATTAACAACAGCTGCTTATGTAAACACATTAAACAGACGGACAGATAGACTTACATCCAGCAGCAGACGAACTACCTCTGTTTTCCCACAGAGGGCAGCCTGATGTAGCGCCGTGCCTGACTCGGACTGTCTGTTGATATCTATCCCAGCTTGAATCAGCAACCTGGAAAAAAAAGCAACTTCCATTATTTCATTTCACCAAAGTGAGAAACAAACTAAAAACAAAATGGAAAAAACAGGAAAGCATGCACATGTATGCAAGTCATGACAATGTCAGTCGATGTGTTCAAAAACCATGTGGAGCTGTATCCTCTTTATATCATATTTGTGGCCTTTTAGGGTAGAGTCCGGCAGATATTGCATTTAACTATGCATTTTGATGGTCAATAACAATGCCAATGTGTTTTTTAAATGTATTCCTCAAAGCCTTTTTTAAAAAAAGAATTGCTCCATTTTGTCTCCGCAGGCGGGAGAGGTGTTTCTGTTTGTCTGACAGCCGCTGGCAGGCTGCCACAGTGTCGGTGTACAGTCTGGTGGTGTAGAGTAATGGCGAAAGCGCAGGAAACAAAGTACACAAACTTGTGCTGTGGCTCCGAGCCACGCAAGTAAGGCTTGCATCAGCATCTAACTAGAATCATGTGACATTTGGTGGTTTGTTTACGTGCTGTATATTGTGTTGCAGCTGAGCAGCTAATTAGATATCTGATGTTGGCAGTTCATTTTTCCCTGATAGATGTTTGTTTAGTCGGTCATTCAACAAGCTGAAGGACAAGTGTGCTTCTGTGTCAGTTAGATAAGAAGTAGACGTTCACATTAAAGCTGATGTGGATTATTGTTGACAGTCTGTGTTGTGTAGCAGGCTGCTAGGCTCAGTGCAACCGTCTTCTTCGCCTGTGATGCAGCATTTACTGTCACTGATGAGGACAGTAGCACGCCATTTCCAATTGATGATCCACAGATGAGGAGCGAAATCAAATGGAGAAAAGAAAGGAAAGATAAAGCACTGAGAATTGAGGCAGAAAGACCACAGGGCTTCCTGGAAGACAGACGTACCCACAGAAACCGATGGTGTTCCTGTGCTCACTGCTCTGAGAGAAAGTTTTGAACTTCAGAATGTGCTTGTGATTAGGACAGTTGGCAAGTTGTCACCGAGCAAGAGCCCTAATGCAATTAGCAAAATGGCCTCTCCAGGCAGCTAATTTCTGTACTAAAAGGCCGGACCTGAAAACAAACACTTTAAATGATTCATGTGAGTTGGAGAGCTTGCCCTGATATACACTGGTCACATGCTGGTCTGAGCTCCTCCACAGATCTTCAGAGAAAATTTAACACAGTGACCCACAGCGCACCAACAGGCACGTTAACGGGGGCTACGTCAGGTTGAAATAAACCAGAATTATCCTCTAAGGCTAAATGTGATGATGCAGGCAGGTAGCTGGACAGAAGGACTGACGGGTAGATGAAGCACTTATGAAGACGAACACTGAGAGAGGCAGCCTGAAAGGAGAACTGGTTCAGACCGTATGACTTCTATGTGTCCGTTCTTGGCAGCGAGATGCAGAGGTGACACTCCGTTGGGGTCGGAGGGTTTCGGTTCCAGCATGGCCGCACACATGTTACTGCTGAGCAGGAGCTGGACAACCTAAACACACAGACAGACGCACAATATATTAACTGTTCAGAAAGTCCGCACCAAGCTGAGGAAACAAGCTGCTCCCTCGATGTATAACTTTCTGCAAAAATTTGATTTCTCTTTGTCTCTCTGTGGACTTGAAAAACAGTTGCGTAAGTACGGGCTCTGTCTTCTGGCTGCCAATGATTTGAAATACCTTAGAGTGTAAATGTGTTAGCCTGATTACTGTAGGGGTTTAGATCGTTGGTCACAATCATTTTAGATGATGGGTTGTCTTACAGTGCAGTTGAGCTGTTTGTTGGACAAACCATCTTCAGATATAATTTGTTGTAGACATTTTGTTCATGATTTTATAACAGCACATTTACTCTAAGACGTATTTTGAGTTATCTGACCTATATTATTGTTTAAAGATGGATGAAACTGCTGTCAGTTCAGACTGAACTTGCTCAACAACTATTTAACAGATTGCCATGAAATTTAATGTTCCCCTCAGGATAGTTTGTAGCAGCTTTCATAATCCCTAATTTGTCTTCCCGGGCCTGCATCAGGTCAAAATTTCTGTTTGTTTGACACTTTAGTTTATGACAAAATACCTGTTAGACTATTCACACTCCCATTATCCTCCACTGTACTTTGTATTTAGTGGTAATTAGCAAACGTCAGCATGCTACCATTAAACTAAGATGGTGAACATAGTTAATATTACACCAGTTCAGTCCCATAGAGCTGCTAGTGTGACTCTTGGTAATCTCAAGAGAGGATTTTCTGGTCAAATAAAGCTTAAATAATGTCACAAAGTGATATTTTAATCCACTCTTTGTTAGTTAGTGTGTTTGTTTTGTTTTCAGTCAATGTACTCACTCCGACTCGTCCAAATTCACAAGCAAGGTCCAGCGGAGTTTTCCCAGCTGCGTCTGAGATGCAGGGGTTGGACTGGTGTTGCAGCAACATCTCTGACTGTAACACACAAACGCAGGCACACATTTAACAGGCGCATCCGAGCTTGAAACAGCCGCATATTATGCATGCATCATCAGGCCCACATAACAGGTACACACACCTCACAGAAACGCACACATGGGACTCTGTACACAGTTAAAACCCTCCACGGCACACACACACACACACAAACTTACCCCGTCGTAGTGCCCATGCTGAGCTGACAGGTGGAGCGGGATCTGTCCTTCGTCTGACTGTCCGTTGACTGAAGATCCAGCCTTTAGCAGCATTTTCATTGGTTCAGTCTTCCCCTGCCATGCAGCATAATGCAGAGGACGCATTCCTACACGAAACACGTGCACACACATACAGACACCCAAAGACAAGCACATACAAAAACACACAGCCAAAGATGACAGCACAATAAAACACAGACACACAAGAGCCCACAAGCACGTGCACACAGACACATACAAAAAAATGAGAATATAAAGACAAATGAACGCATACAAATAAGCTTTATTTTACACACAAATCAGTTCAAGCAGAACAAAAATACCTCAAATTTTCTTAATTTTACAGAAGAAACATTAAACTCGAATATTAGCTAATGTAATGTAGTGTGCTTATTATGTGAGAGTTGGAAACATACAGTAAATATATGCATAAGAGCTCAGACAAACAGTGCAATTAGAGAAAATCAGTGGCCCAAAAAAATGTATTTTATAGGCCGCAATATATTGGTTGAAGTTTCTCAAACGTAAGGTTTATCTATTTTATTTGAGCATTCTGTGAAATATTAATAAATAAATAATACAAATATGGAATAATTGGTACTGCAAGGTGGCTCGGTGGTTAGCACCGTTGCCTCGCAGCTAGAGGGTCGCCAGTTCACATCCCGGTGAGGACACCCGGATCTTTCTGCGTGGAGTTTGCATGTTCTCCCCGTGCAGCGTGGGTTGTCTGTCTCTAAGTGTAGCCCTGTGATAGACTGGTGACCTGTCCAGGGTGTCCTTGCCTTCACCCTAAGTCAGCTGGGACAGACTCCAGCCCCCCGCAACCCTTGTGAGGATTAAGCGGTGTATAGATGATGGATGGATGGCAGAATATTTGATAAGGACCATTGTTAGTTGCAGCCTTACTGTAAATGCAATTTTTGCAAATACTTTTGTATTGTCTGTCTTCCTGTAGCAGTAGCTTTAGGCTCAGGCTCTCAGTGCCCCTCCTGGAAATGCACTCTTATTGTGGTTGACGTTTTTGACCTTTTCTAACCCCTGAAGTATTGTTTGTGCAAGCACCAGAGTCATGGGACGTCTGAGACAAACAGCTTCCAGATAAAGGCCATGAGGCCCCCGTCAGTTTCCTGACATGGCCTGAGAGGACCGTAAGGGGAACTACACTACCCAGCCCACTCCTGGAGCCATGCAGAGAATACAAGGTGAGTGCAGTGCAAAAAAAAAAAAAAAATCTGTGTAAAGTCATTACCAGTGCCTCAAACCAGAAGACATTAAACATCACTTTACAGCAGTGGCTGCAAGGAGCAGCGAGCATGTTTCTCATGGCAGCAACCCAAGAGCCCCTGTCTTGATACCAGAGATGAGCCACGTCGTAAGGCTGAATAAAGAGACCCTCCAGGCTTGGCTGGCATGAGGGAGTTCTGACTCAGAGGAGAGGTGCTGGCAGGATAAAGATTCATAGCAGCTGCAGGAGTTACAGAAGCTGAAGCTTCAGCATACGAGGTGTGTCAGAAAAGTTCCAAGACTGGTGTAACAAAAGATATACTTCAAACCCAAACTACAAACTACGAGTTCTCTCCTTCAGATGATCTACAAAGAGATCCTGCGGCGTTTGCTTCGTTCAGTGTGCAAGAAGAGGTGAGAGTTGTGGCAGGACAAGTCGTGGCTGCTTCACCATGACAACGCGCCTGCTCACAATGCCCTGAGCATCCAACAGTTCCTGGCTGAGAACAACATGGCCGTGCTGAAGCAACCTCCCTACTCACCCCACCTGGCTCTGTGGGATTGTTTCCTCTTCCCCAAGCTCAAGGGGGTCATCAAGGGGACCCGTTTTGAAGATGTGGACGACATCAAGATGGCTGTGAGGACGGAGCTGCGGAGGATCCTGGAAGAATTCTTCCAGGAGTGCATGGCGGCGTGAAGGCAGAAAAGGCTGGGGAAGTGTGTTAGACTCCAGGAGGATTACTTGAAAGGGGAGAACTTGTTGTTTGTAGTTTTGATTTTAAATATATATCTTTTGTGACACCAGTCCTGAAACTTTACTGACACACCTCGTACAAGATGTGATGGCAATTTACTGTCAAAGATCTTGTAGGAAGTGTCGATGTGATTCAGTTTGAAAAGGGAGGACTTCAGTCAGACTGTGCAGAGACAGAGCGACACTGAACTTGAAAATAGCTTCATGTAATGGACACAGCCTCAATTCAGGATGCTCTTTTGCAAGAGTTGTGGAAGGGTTTAATCCTATTTTGAATGTTGAGAAGTTGTGACTGACAGGTCCATTTAAATGTATAAATAGTGCTTTATTTGACAAGCAGTTGTGGGTTTCCCAGTTTCCCAGTTTTAAATAATAATAATGTCTCAATAAGACAAGGGTGAAAACTGACTGAGCAAGAATAATGCAGCTCTTTAAATTTCAACATTTATTACAGGTTTAAGTTTTAACAATAATATACAGGTCATATAAATGTGATAGTCCTAACTGAGTGGGATCTCTGCTTTTGGAAAAACCCTTAACAGATTTCCCAGATTTCTTGGCAGACGTGTTGAAAACAACGTTGTTTCTTCCATTTCCTGTTTTTGATGTTTTTGGCGTGTGCATCATGCCCAGAAGCCCTTGCCCACAGGATGTCCAGGCCACTGAACCTAATCTGGCATCCTGGATATATATATTTCTTTTTTAAACTCAGAGGAAACAGTTATTTTCAACACAAAAATGAACCTCACGCGTGCAATTCCTGATTTTTTTTTTATTTTTTTAGCCACACATAAGCAGTGGAAACAAGCTGTGGGCACAACATTGATATATGAGCACTTTTTAAGTTGATAAAATGAGCTAGCATATTATCTATTTACTGTAGAGCTTCAGCAATTAGTTACTTAACTGATTAGTCAACAAACAGAAAACTAATACTGCTTTGATAGCCGATTAATGCTTTTGGTAATATTTTTAAAGTGAAGATGCCAAAGCACTCCCTCTCTTTCACTCACTTTTTCTGCTTTTCTTTGTCATGAATGACAATCAGATGAAAATCTTTGAGTTCCAGACTGTTGGGCAGACAAAACAAGGCAACTGAAGGTTTTATCTTAGGTTGTGAGATTACACTAAATAATCAGCAATCAAAAAAAATAATCTTGTGGCAGCCCTGCGATGGACTGGTGACTGTCGAGGGTGGACTCTGGCTCTCACCCAGCTGGGATAGACCCCATCCCCCCATGACCCTAAACAGAACACAGCTGGTAAAGCAAATGGATGCAGACATGGAAGAAAAAAAATCTGCAAATAAATCCATAATGAAAATCATTATTTTAGCCCTAACCCACGCTAAGATTCATTTGGAGTCATTTTTCTCTCCACCTGATGGATACCATTCAAAAATCAATTCTTTATTTTCTCTGTTTTTGATCACCACCAACTCCTGAGGGAAATATGTGGCTCTTTAGCTGCAAAAACCTCCACCAGCTGGTCACTAACTTTGTACTGTCAGCCTTTTGTTGCTGAGCAGCCTACTGTAATTAAAACGACGTAAGTGACAGCCGTGAAACTTAATCAAAACAAGGAGCAACAATGCTCTGCAGCTGATAAATGTCTGTGGATTCATCAGTCCGAGTGACTACAATCACACACCAGCAGTAATTTGATGCACTGTTGATGTAAAAATATCGATTGTGACAGCTCTAATATTGACCTTCAGTTTAGTGCATTGTGTAAAATAATGTGAGCACTGCACTGGACCGAGTGGAGGCTTCCAGTGTTCACCATGAGCCTCGCTTCAACACTGAACTAATAATTTGAGGTTTCCCCAGCATCACCACGGCACCCGCTGAGGAGTTTAGGGTCACCTGGTATAGATGCCTGCCAGGTGTGTGCCTCTATTTAGAGACATACTGTGCATGACTGACTGAGAGAGCACAGGCAGTGTGCCCACATCCTTTAGGGATTATAACTCCCATCTGCCCTGAGATTTCTTCTTCTTCTTCTTCTTCTTCTTCTTGTACTTGGATCTGCCAATGTGGGATGGAGATATTCGTTGCTCTGCTTCCACTTGGCTCTCAGTCCTGAAGCCAGAAAGCATTTCTCCTCTGTTTTCTCTTGTTTACTGTGCAAACAAGTCTGACACTTCTCACAAATATATTCTGCACAGGAAAAATGTTATTTCACTTCCAACAAGCTCACCTTTTATTACATAAGCTGGGATTATTTGTCACGCAGGGACACTCGGAAATGTGTGTTTGTTTACTTGTTTGTTTGTGATGGTTGTTTTTTTTTTTTTTCTTTCTGGCCAGCCGTTCGAGTTTTGTGTCTGTTTTGCGGTTACATAGTGAGTTGCAGTGACACTGTGAGAATCAGTCTGCATTTTTTACCTTTATGGTCTTTGATATCCACTGCTGCCTGGGCCTCCAACAGCAGCGAGATCAGCTCCTTGTTCCCGCTCAGAGCAGCGTGATGCAGCGGCGACAGCCTTCACACAGACACAGATTATGTATAAAAATACACATATTCATATACGTAGTGTAAAACCTGAACATAACTTTGCTGAATTAATCTTCAGCGTGCAGCTGCTCCGCCCCTCAGCTCTGTGTGAGCGACGGGAGGGGGGAAATGACCTACTTCCATTAATAAGCAATCTCTCTACCCCGGAGTCGAGCGTACACACAGGGCATCTGTGTGTGTGTGAGCGTCTAATGGATCCCTGGTGAATATAAGAGCCGGGCCCTGGAGTCAAATCAGCGACTCATCAGTCATTACACAAGGAGCTGAGTCCAATTATCTGATTCCAATCAACATAATAAAAAGATCTTTGTTATCTGATGGAGCCAAATGGAACACAGTCGTAAACCAAGCATGTGCACACAAAAAGCCTAACCAATCATGAGGCTAAATATAGCCAAAATCCATAGTTGAACATTCACAGTTGATAAGGGAACATTTCTGAGCAAATTAAGAGCTGAGAAATGTTGGCTTTGCTTTAAGGTGATAATTAGAGTCTTTAGATTTGAGCTCTTCAGCTGGCTATATGTTTCAAAGAGATTTAAGCAGGAATAGAAGTGCAATGTAACTAATAAAAGAGAGTTTTTCTCCTTTTTGCTTACCCCTGTTAATTAGATGAACAAAATATGGATCAGCTACAGATTCAATCCTCTGGTATTTGTTGGAGTTTGATGTCTTCCTCAAGGAAGGACAAAACTTTTACACCAGTGATAGCCAACATTTTTACCTGTGACCCCTTTAAAATGAGGCAACATTTGACCCAAACTCACAGGTTCCATCCTTAATTACACTTGAGCGCTCAGCAGTTCAACTAAAAAGCAACTTTTTAAAATCTTTGACAGTCACATTTAAAAGGCATTTTTGGAGCATTAAAGATGCAAAGTCATTCATTAGTGTATATAAATTCAGGAGCTGAGTGTTTAATTAGTCTATGAGACAAAGTGTTCTTGTAGATGAAAAAAAAAAAACATGTTCACAGAGAACAAGACGTTCTTTTGGGACTCTTAGTCAAAGCAAGGACACACGTTATGTAATAAACTTTCATATAGTCATGCAAATTGACTACTACCAAACCAGCGACTCAAACTAAATAAAGACTTTTAGTATAACCTTTCTCTGTGACCTTCCTAAAAACGGTTATTTTCTATATTCAGTATTTTCACCCCCCCCAAAAAAAGAAAAAACAGGAGAAAATCGGGTTATTTTCTTTTTTCCTTATGCCTTTTAACATCTCGAGTGCTGACCTCCAGCTTGGGAAACACTGCCCAAATACAAGAAAGAACTCAGAGCAGGTCTAATGTAACGTTCACTCAATGATTCAACGGTTTTTAAGGCCCTTAAAATTAAGGGAAAGGCTTAATATGAAGAAAAACAACAGGTCGGGAGCGATGAGGAAAGAGTTGTGAGAGGAATGTGTAGTGGTGACAGGAAGGGTTGATGTCTCTCACCCGTCTGCATCCTGGATGTTGACATTTACTCGCTTCGCTGCTCCGAGAAGCTCTGAAAGAGAAACAAATTCACTCAGTCCAGCGTGTTCTGTCTTCTGTCGTGTCCATACTGTAATATTTCATTCTCTTAGAGTCGAAGCTGCACTTCTACACCTGTAAGTGTCGAAAAAAAACAACCCTCTACTCTGCAACAGCTTCTTCGCAAAAAGAAGAAATGACAAGCTCAAAAAGTCACAGGAATACGTAAAAGCTCAGTTGGCACTTTCGTAATAAATAAATTACACTTCTGAGATGTATTCACATGCAACATTTACAGATATTATAACGTTCAGATGGTAAGCTGAAACCAGGAGGCACTTTAGCTGAGAAACACTAAAGGATTCCTGTAAAACCACAACTTGTCATTTTCACACTTAATGTTTTTGTACAGATTGAGCAAATAACATGCTTTGAAGTTCTCCCTGTGCTTAGCTTCCTCGCCTCCTGGCTCTCGCTCCATATTTAGACAAACATGAGAGAGGTCTTGATCTTTCCATCCAGCTCTTGGAATAAAGGGAGATAAACACGTTTGCCAAGACAATGAACTATTCCTGTAGGTCTTAGCTCTTGTATTTGAGTGACAGCAGGTCTAAGTGTAAAGATTTTGAGAATTTAGGGATTTAAATTGGGATCAAATATGAAGCATTTATACATCAATCATTTTAAATCATCATCATTATTTTACAACAGACATACTGTCTTATTTTGGGATGCAGTTCAGTAGAGTCAGATGTATATAAATCTCCAACAATTACAAATAATTCAAACCTCAAGTTGAGTTTCATATTTGAAAATGAGTCTTCAACATTTCAGCAAACATTTTCACTTTATTTTGCAAACAATCTGTATTTATGTGACCTCAGAAAAACCTGCTGATCAGTGTGGTAAGTCTTGGCTTATTTATTTTTATCAATTCATTCATTCATTTTTTGATCTGTTAAATTCAAAAATGTTCCATCTCAACTTCCCAGAGTTTAAGATGACCTCCTCACATCTCTTGTTTGGTCCAATCAGCAGTCAAAGCCAAAAGAATTTCACTTTACAATGACGGTAAAAGGACAAAGGCAGAAAATCAGAGAATCTTTTAGCATTTTACTTTCACTTTAAAGTGGGTTATGAAAACAGACCAAGTGACTGATCAATTTAACAATTATTCATTGCAGCTTTAGAGTGATTTGATCTCTTACATATGAGTTATTTGGTGTGTGCTTGTACATATTTATAGTATGTTTGTGCGTATCTATACATCTGTACTTGTGATTGTGTGATCGATTATGTGTACGTACATGTGTGAGTGTGTGTTAGAGACGACATTGATCTTTAACGGAAGCATCAGAAAGGCGAAAACACCAGGCAGCAGGAAGGGGACGCAAACACACGCAAAAACCAACAAACACTCTGAAAAGGACACAGAAAAAGCGGCTTGCTTGTCTCTCTGCTTCCACTTTTTTTTTTTTTCTTTTTTTTTTCCGTCTGGTCAAACCCTCATAATCCACAGGCCGTAATCTGTAGCTGTTCTGTAATCTGGGGAAAAGCTTCTCCCTCTCTCTGCAGCTCTATCTGCACTTCATCCCTTCATCCTGCTCTCACACTCTAATTTTCCCTGTAATTTGCTAAAGAGCGCGTGCTGATTGGTAGTTCTGCTGTTTCTGTTTACACTCTGCAGCTGACATCAGCTTCCTGCGTGCATGTGTGTGTGTTTGTTTGTGTGCACGTGCAGGTTTCCCCCCCATCTATCTTGGATTAAAAATAAGGACTGTCCCTTCCCCCCCCCTCCCCAGCTGATGAATCAATGAGTACAGATATCTGTGTCAGCATGAACCCCCACTCTGACCTCAGTCTTGCGGCAGGGCAACCCCCACAATTATTCCACCAACTTTTGCTTTATTGATCATCCCTCTTTGGCCACACGAGGATGGAATGTTTAATCAAATGCTCAGTTGCAGCTGACTAAGACGGGGCGTCGCTCTGCCCTCGAACACTTCGGCCATTCTTTATCAGTAAGAGCTGCTCCGTTAAAACAGACTTGCCACTTGAACACTCACTTATTTAATTAACAACCTTCTGCCTAATTGCATCACTTACTTGAATTTGTTGTGTTAGATTTTGAAGTAACGCGTTTCCCTTCCCTGACATGAACTGCTTGTTTGAGAGCATTACCATAATGCCTCTCTGATGGTGTCCTTGGACCAGGGTTCATATTTTTTATGATAATTTTAGGCAAAACACTGCAACCGAGCCTCGGTTACCATGGTAACCCCATCAATGTGCCATTCTCGCAGGCTGTCAATCACTTGGCAGGGATTACTATGATATTATTTTGCTCCTTCACACTGTAACTATAGTTCTAAAGAATTGATTTGACATGAAATCCCATCATTCATGTTATAATTTGAAACCCCTCAATCTAAATGGAGAGTACCAAACGAGACTGCAGCTACTGTGTGGAGAGGCAGACATAAAATATAAGCAAACAGATTCCAAAACCTCAGGAGAGGTGAAGTGGAGGGTTTCTCAGGGGTCCTCATTACCAGAGATGTTCTGAAGTCCTGTTTCCATCACCTCTGACTTCGCCTGTCATCACGCATTTGGTGTCTCAATGTAACATGTAGCCTACAACAAATGCCAGCACTGATATGTCTTTTCTCCTTCTGTTTTCACACAGCTGCACACATATGGTAAAGTGAACCGACTCAGGGTCACAATACGGCAACAGCTCAGGAAAGGTATGAAATTTTCATCAGTATTTCAAAATGACAGACAACAAACAGATTGCTGTAAGAGAAGAAACGCACAGATATGCAGCAGTGTTCACAAGTTTTAGGCACTTTGGATATTTAGATTGCTACCCAGCACATGATATAAATCAAGGATGCATCTGATTGATCCCAAACTCATTGTGCAGCATTACAATAACCCCAAACATACAGCCAGAGCCATAAAGATCTATCTCCAGCAACAAGAACAACAAGGAGTCCTAAACAGATGGTGTGGCGTGTCTTGATCTCATCATCACAGAGTCAGTCTGAGATTACATGCAGAGAAAGAAAACACACAGTGTGACTGAATCCACACAAGAACTGTGGGAAGTTCTTCAAGCAGCTGGAACAGCCATTGTATCAAGGTAAGTTACTTTACGGACTGTATGTTGTAATACAATGACAGCGAAATGATTTCCTGAGTTTGTGCTATTATTTGCTCTTGAAAACTAAAGTATTTAATAATTGCTTTTGCTAATGTTTACTTCTGTTGATGGTGTCATGCCTTGGATTTTAGTTAGACTTTACCCATTTTATCCATGTAAATAACAATCAGTCATATGTCGGACATGCAACCTTGAAAAACAGAAAATTATAGCAGTTTCCATCAAGACCTTATTTCAACTTTAATGAAAAACCCAAAAAACTGTTAGTCAAAACAGCTCCTTTTTTCCTCTACCAAGGCTGGAGCCAAGGCAAGGTTCTTGTTTGTTTGTTTGTTTGCCTGTTTGTTTGTCTCTCAGCAGGATTACGCAAGAACTACCACGCCGGATTTCATGGAATTCAGCGGAGAGCTGGAGCACGGGAAAAAGAGGTAACCATTAAACATGAGGGCGGATCTGGATCACTTTCTTTCGTGAGATGAGGAATTGGCCTTGGTGGAGGTCTGCGCTCTACAAGTGCCCTTCCAGTCTTAAGTGTTCTTTCATCCATGCGTACCCTTTACCCTGTATTTAATCCAGCTGTTGGTGCTATATTGACTGGATCCATTTTGAGCCAAGGATTTTTAGCGTGTAATTAGTCTGTGGACTGGACAAGCTTTCGACAGAGTTATAACATTAAGAACGCCACCTTTAAAAATGGAGCTACCGGCTTCTGAAGATTTCATCAAACTCAATGCATTTACACAGATTTTACCCCTGCGCTTTTAAATCAGAAAACTAAAAAAAAAGGGCCACTTCAACTGCAATAAATGAGTCCACACTTTTCCGTACATCACGGAAGCAGCGAGTGGAGTCCTTGTGGCTTCACAGCGTAAATCTAGAAATGACAACAGCTGCATCTTTGAAGAAAAACGGTCTGTTTGCCTTTCTGCACAACAAGAAGTCAGAGAAAGATATCACAGGTGACAGGTTAATTTCCTGTGTGATAGTTTGACTTTGTTGGTGTCTTAATAAAACTGAATAACAGAAAACTCAAGGATGACAACACCTTGTCTGTTACACTCGTCGCAACATTAACAGTGCATTCAGATTTACAGAGTTTTGACTATTGATTATTTTCGCTGTAGATTATTCTGCAAATGATTTAATCCACCAATCAATCAATCAATCAATCAATCAATCAATCAATCAATCAATCAATCAATTTGACCATACGTATAATAGTCAACAATCGTAATTTCCCAGAGCACAAGTTGACAGATGCACATTACTGGTGTTTTCGAACTAAGGGCAAAAAAATCCACAGAGACAATCCACTGTCAGCAGTCACAGCTCCACTCAGATTTCCAGCTGTTACTTTTTCTGGCACCACCGCTCAGTATATTTTATAAGGGTAAAGGGTTAAAAGACCAAACCCTTCTTGAGGTCCTCGAGTCAGGAAAGCGAATGAAAAGAAATATTCCCACTTTTGCCGGTTAACTGCTGCTCCGCTACAGCACTACAGGTGTTACCTTGATGAAATGGGTACAGCAGACCTTTATACTTTCAGCCCATTACAGACTTCTATGAGCTGTGCCAAAAAAAAAAAAAAAGAAAAAATGGTCAGTGTTTCTTGATCATTGATAGAGGCCATTTCACTGGATTGCTAGAACATAAAAGAGATACAATTACGATAAGGATGTTCTCATATCTCTAAGATAAAGAGCTTTATTTCAACTGAGCCAAAGATAAGAAAACCATTACCAAATGGTTTAGGGAGTATGCCTTACTTTGTGCAAGCAGCCGTTGGTTTTTAAATGTCTTCTGTTTTAAAGTGAGACTCAACATCTCGAAGCTGAAGTCATTCAAACTCTGAAGAATCAATTTTGGAG